ACATTGTTTTATTTTTGAATGCAGTTTTTTTTTTTTTTTTTTTTATACATAATTTTACTTTTGTAAGTTCAACTTTCATGATAAAGAAACTGCTCTACACTACTTGCAATGGGGGAATTGAAAAATACTTTTTTGTTTGTTTTTTTTACAGTACATGTATTTTGTAATCAAAAATAAATATAAAGTGAGCACTGTACATTTTGTATTCTGTGTCATAATTAAAATCAATATATTTGAAAATGTGGAAAACACCCAAAAATATTTAAATAAATGGTATTCTATTATTGTTTAACTGCATGATTAATCACACGATTAATCAGAATCAATTTTTTTAACTCGCTTGACAGCCCTATTAATAATAAGGGGAAGGAATGTATGACAAAATAGGGATAAAAAGATTAAAGAAGATTTAGATGAGTTAAATGTATTCAAGTTGGCAGGGACTGATGAAATTCATCTTTAGGATACTTAAAGAACTAAGTAAAGGAACCTCAGAACCACTAGCTAATTATCTTTGCGCACTCATGGAAGATGGGTGAGGTCCCAGAGGAGTGGAAAAGGGCAAACATAGAACCTATTTTTAAAAAGGGGAACAAAGATGACCCAGGGAATTATAGACCTGTCAGCCTAACTTTGATACCTGGAAAGATACTGAAACAAATTAAACTATCAATTTATAAGCATGTAGGAAATATTTTAGGGAAGTTGTATGGCTTGTGTTATACAGGAGAGCAAATTAGGTAATCACAATGGTCCCTTCTGGCCTTGGAATCTAGGGTTATAAGGAATAGCCAGCATGCATTTGTCAAGAACAAATCATGCCAAACCAATGTAATTTCCTTCTTTGACAAGGTTACCGGCCTACTTGATAGGGGGGAAGCAGTAGATATTTATCTTGATTTTGACAAGTCCCACCTGACATTCTCATAAGCAAAGTAGGGAAATGTGATCTAGATTAAATTACTATAAGGTGCATGCACAACTGGCTGAAAGACCATACTCAAAAAGTAGTTATCAATGGTTCGCTGTCAAAGTGGGAGGGTGCATCTAGTGGGGCTGCAGGGATCAGCTCTGGAGTTGGTACTATTCAACATTTTCATTAATGACTTGGATAACAGAGTGAAATGCATGCACATAACATTTCCACAAGACACCAAGCTGGGAGGGGTAGAAAGCACTTTGCGGGGAGGATTACAATTCAAAATGACCTTGACAAACAGAACTGGTCTGAATTAAACAAGAAGAAATTCAATAAAGACAAGTGTAAAGTACTATACTTAGGAAGGAAAATCAAATGCACAGCTACAAAATGGGAAATAACTATTTAGGTGGCAGTACTGCTGAAAAGGATAGGGGGTGGGTAGAGTGGATCACAAATTGAGTATGAGTCAACATTGGGATGCAGTTGAAAAATGGCTAATATTTTTGGGTGTATTAACAGGAATGTTATATGTAAGATACAGGCAGTAACTGTCCTGCTCTACTGAGCACTGGTGAGGTCTCAGCTGGAGTACTGTATCCAATTATGGGTGCTACATTTTAAGAAAGATGTGGAAAAATTAGAGAGTCTAGAGGCGAGCAAATAAAATAATAAAATGTTTAGAAAACTTAACTTATGAGGAAAGGCTACAAAAACTCGGCATATTTAGTCTTGAGAAAAAAAAAGACTGAGGGGACAGCTGATAACAGTCTTCAAATAACTTAAGGGCTGTTATAAAGCAAACAGCGATCAATTGTTCTCCATGTCCACTGAAGGTAAGATAAGAAGTAATGGGCTTATTCTACAGCAAGGGAGGTTTAGGTTAGATATTAGGAAAAACTTTCTAACCATAACAGTAGCATAACGGTATGCTCAGGAACAGGCTTCTAGGGAGGCTCTGGAATCTGTGTCATTGAAGGTTTTGAAGAACAGGTTGGACAAACATCTGTCAGGGATAGTCTAGGTTTACCTCAGTGCAGGGGGATGGACATTTCTATGATTCTATGTTGATACTATAATTGGGAGAATTTCAAAGACACAAAAGGCAATTAGAGGTGCCTAAATCCCACTGAAAGCCAATGAGAGTTGCATGCCTAACTTCCACTTGTGCCTTTAAAAAAAAAAAATCTGCCTTAAAAACCTATGCTACCATTCTAAATAAAGATCTTAAGTGAACAGTAATTCTGAGGTGCATTTCCATGCTGGATAAATTTACTCATCTTATATATTTTGCCATAGAATTGAGAACAATGGTAACTGGACACTGATGTCATCAAGCATACATCCAGGAATATATTACAATTCCTGAAAAAGTAACTAACTATGTAACACTAATAGCAATATGGGGAAATGCTTCATAAAAGCTAGTATCATATGATCTTAAGCTGCTTTACAAGACATTTTATTTTTTTCTTACAGTAGGTTTCCCTCTGGTGTTCTAGTCAACAATACCTTACCGACAAGCAGACCAACTACAAAATTGTCACCAAAATGTACGCATGAGGTGGCTTGAATTTCTGTTGTATGTGTAAAATAATTCTGGTGGAAACATACAAATAATTCCTGCCAGTTAGGAATTTTGTATAAAGAATATCTTGCTTCTCTTACTCAAGCAAGACTCCTGCTGACTCCAATGGAACTTTTACCAAAGTAAGACAGCAGGTTTTGGCCCAGTATCAGTATATTTCAGTGTCTCAGTTTCCTCGAGGAGCTGAAATGGAACTCAAATATAGGTATACCAAAACTAGGATGTTTAAGTTCCCTCATGCTCAACAACTACTTGCCTAATTCAAGCGATCCAAATTTTGCATTCACCAAGCGTAGATCTTTCAAAACAGAGTTTCTATTTGCATCTGTAAAAAAAAAAAATATTTAAAATCAGAAATATGTTTGGTTATTGTTTGAAAAAAAGAGCATACTTAAATACATCCACCAACCAATTAAGTCTAGTATATTTTTCTATAGGCGAATATTATATTCCAATTTTAAGAACCAACCCTGCAAACACTTACAGACATATAATAATATAAACGTAGGACTGGAAGGGATCTCGAGATCAACTAAGTCCATCTCCCTTCTCTTCTGCCCTACTCAAGATACAAAAGGATTTCAATATTATACTTACTGTCAGGCTCTTGTAGTGAAGGTGCTCCAGCAAGGGAGCTTAGCCCACTCCTTAGGGGGGGGTGCATCAGAAAGAGATGCAAGGCTTCCTCCTTGTTTGTTGGACTCTGTTTTCCTAAAAAGGGAAACAATTTGTAACTAGATATGTGACTCTCTCGTCTACCATCCATTAAATATGTATGCACCTAGAAACAATACTGTATGCAGCAAAAGATCAGGTGAAGGAACTATTTACTCTACAATCCAAAAAAGGCCAAAAACTTTCTACTGGAAATTGGTGGTAAAAGTGTCAAGCAAGACATGCAATAAGAAAGTTATTTTCTCACCTATTCATGGACTTCTGCCTGCCTTCTGTCACAAACAGATCTCCTGCATCTTCTTCAGTATCACTATTTTTATCAGGGGGCCTTTAGTTATCCCCACAAATACCATGTAGCCAAGAGGAAAAGATTGAGGCATAAATAAATATATCAACCAGTTTCTGCTTTTGAATTATGATCAGTTTTGTTCAACAAAACTAGGAACAGTCATGTTGTAGAAAGCATGCCCCTTGAGATTGCAGCAAAATGGATTTCTTTCATCGCCACATGATAAATTGGTTTAGCTACCATTACATTTAGGAATGGAATATAGATTAACACATTATTTACAAATAAAAGATGCAACAAGCACATTGAAAGTCTAAGTTTAATCTTCACCATTCCCAGAAAATATTTTCAGTGACCAAGTTGTGACTGGTTTCATGTAATGTATTTTACACTCATCTAATGAGATGATGTCTGAGCAGAATCTGATTTTGAATTAACTTTCTATGGTTCTGGTGAGTTTAATGTATATTTAAACAAGTTATATAAATTTATGACGACTCCATGTTACATGTACATACACATGAAATATGATACACTGTGGCGGAAGATTACAAACTATTATTTTACTACATGTATAATAAGTCCTAAAATCTGTAGAGCCTTGCTAATTAGCATTTTGCTAATTCATTTACCACAATTTGCACGCACAAAGATGCCTTACTATGGAATTGCTATCAATATCTGCATGCTACATAAATCAAATTAAGATACACAAGTCTAAAAATGTATGTAATATTGATATGGAAAGAGATCATTAGCATAATCCATGTAATTTGACAAACCTTGTTTCTTTTCTGCCATGGAGATTTGTTCCATACAAGGCAATTTAGTTTTGCTGCATAACAAAGTCTTCTTTTCTTGAACTCTTATCTTTCAAGCATTTTCAGGTAGCAATTATAAATAAGTATTACCATTCAAGTCATTGGCCTTTGATGCTTTTAACAACTGATGACCACTTGAGTATTCATGTAATACTGTAGTAGTAAAATTCCTGAACATTGTTTTTATTGCATTTCCTTACATTTATAAATATAGGTTAATTGTATTGTTTGCTAATTATTGCACAAACCTATTAGGTTCTTCTAACGTTATTTTGTCTTTTGTTTTGAATTATTAGATTACAAACACGGGTCTAAACTGTAGAATTTGCACTCATGATTGTTATATTTAGTTTTCAAGGACCGTAATTAACACAGATGCACTGGGCGTGTTATTCTAACTTATGAATAAGGCTGCGATTTGGTCACAGAATCCATGACTTCCAAAGACTTCTGTGACTTTAGGAGCAGCAGGTGGCAGGGGGGATCCCCGGCAGATCCTCAGAGCTCTTGCCTTACTTATGAACCATGATGTCAGTTAAAAGCCAAGGTAATCCGGCAAGATAAAAATGTAGGAAATTGCAACAATCCTGGGAATCTACCTGCTTTGAAAGACACTATCATCATCTCAGATTCAATGACTGGAGGAACAAATTCCTTTTAAAGTTTCATTTTAATATTTTAAAGCTGCCAGTTTAAAGATCATGCACAATTATTAGATCTCTCTGACACTGGTATTCCCACCTATTGTTTTATCCCAGTTTATGACCTCACAATCAGTTGGCTGTAGAAATTAACATGATGTTACAATCAATTAGTACTTAAGCTCCTAAATAAGCAGGAGCAAATCAAAGATGCTATTTTAATCCTGATATGGCTACTGATAAAAATGAAAAAATAATCAAAAAACAATAGAGTTCTTTCTAATGCATTTGTTCAATATTTTTCATGAGAAGTCAGCTGCTCTTTAAATATATTATAAGAGCATATCTTGTAATTTTTATTTCCCACTAGATAACAGTCATAAATAATCCCTTTCTGAAAGGAGAAATGAGTTTGCCAGTTTATTAGAAATAGAGGGGAGAATGATCTTGTGTGATTACTTTGTGCCACACCAGGATCCTCCTAGCATAAGAGTGAGCATCTGATACTGCAGGGCCAACATAAGAGGGCTTAAACCAGTGGTTCTCAACTAGGGGTATGTGTAGCCCTGGGGGTATGCAGAGGTCTTTCAAGGAGTACATCAAATCACCTAGACATTTGCCTAGTTTTATAACAGGCTACATAAAAAGGACTAGTGAAGTCAGGACAAACTAAAATTTCTTAAAATGACATGTTTATACTACTCCATATACACTGAAATGTAAGTACAATATTTATATTCCAATTGATTAAATTTTATTATATGGGTAAAAATAAGAAAATAAGCAATTTTTCAGTAATCACAGTGATGTGACACTTTTATATTTTTATATCTGATTTGTAAGCAAGCAGTTTTTAAGTGAGGTGAAACTTGGGGGGTACGCAAGACAAATCAAACTCCTGAAAGGGGTACAGTAATCTAGAAAGGTTGAGAGCCACTGGATTAGACCACCTTGCTGTCTGTTGCCAATGTGAAAGGGAAAGAGTGGGCATGGATGGGGCAACCTCCTGCTACATCAATCTTCAGGTGCATTTTTGGCCCACCCAAAGTTAGTACAACTTTAAAGTTGCTCTAACACAGCACAGTGGAAATGGCTCTGCTCAGAGCTGCAGCAAGATCAAGGGAATGAGAATGTGGGCTTTGACACCTTTGCACCTTTCAGTCAGACTTGCACTTCAAAATATCATTTCACTCATCATCAGACACTACAAAACCACAAAGTGCCCTAAAATGTTTGGGCCTGCAAAGCTGACATGTTCCGGAAGAACAATTACTCTACTGAAAACAAGTCCGCTTGGACACACTGGGTAATAAATGTGAACACTGATTTATATAAGGGAACTTTTTCCATGAGCAAAAGTGTCTTTCCTAATACTTGTATTGTATGAAGCTGGTACGTCTGTGTCTGAGAGAGAGAGAGAGAGAGAGAGAGAGAGAGCTAACAATATTTTCTTAACTACTCCAATACTCTGGGTTAGATTCTGCCAGTCCTTCCGAAGTTATGCAGAGAAATAAAGATTCTCCCCTCCCACTTGTGCAGCTACTTTAAGGTTGGCCACAGCTGCATCTCCAGGGCTCAAGGAGCATAGGGTTTGTACCTCAGATACTCACTCCTGGCATCAAATGGGTTGGAAAGAGCAGGTTTTAGCAGAGCCAAGGCTCCACCTGCCCTTCTCCAACCCCACCAACCAGATCAGTTGGCTTGATATCAGAAGGAACTATGCAACATCCCCAAAAGGGTGAAAATTACTCACCAGTGCAAGCAGGGTGTTTTACAGTGCACCCACACACCACCTTTTACTACAGGCTATGTGCAAATAACACATCTAACCCAAACCTACTAAGCATAAAATAAATGTGTTAACTAGGGAGCATGGTTTACTTACCAGCCATAGTTTCTCTCCGGTTTGGGTATGGGATCATCAAAAAAAGAATCTCCCTCTATGTCATCCTCATCTACAGCTGGATCACTTTTTTCTTTGGTATTTAAGTCTCTGTTGTGTGGTTGAGAAACTAGCTTTGTCTCATTGGGAAGAAAGTGAATGCTGCTTTTGCTCTTTGTTTCTCCTGATGAAATACTTGTATCACTTTGACTGGTTTCAGCAACCTTAAAAACAAATAAATAAATCAAATTTACAGGAGGGAAAATGCCTTTCCTTGAGTGAAGTCATGGAAATAGTTTCTCATGACTGAACTGCAGTCCAACTGTTAATAAAGGACCATCAGGGAACATACACTATGCAAGTCATCCATGTAATCAATTTTTCAAATTATATTATTTACATGACATTCCACTCTCAGGGCACCAGGGAACCTGGCATACCCAGCAGAGGCTGCTACGGAGCTTTTACTGGCCTGGGGTCTTTGTTACTGTCCGACAGTACTGCCAATCCTGTGACCCCTATCAGAGGGGGAGGAAGGCCCGGGACAAGGGGAAAACAGCTTTAGGACCCTTGCCCAGCATAGAGGAGCCTTTCCAGAGGGTGGCCAAGGTTAAAAGGGGGGCTCTGAACCAAGAGAGCCCGAATCACAGACCTCCAGACTGGAACGCTGGGAGAAGACCCCAGCCCAGTTGGAACCCCAGGGGTATTGGGATGGGAAAAGGGCACAGGCCGCATAAACCTTCCCACATGTGAACTACGAGTGCCATCGAGCACACCCGACCTAAGGGAGGGCGTGAAACTGGAAGGGCCTGGTGTAATTCTCACCAAGGAATGGGAGGGATACTGGGGCATCCACGGGAATGGGGGTAGGTTCGAACTTCCCCGGGTCACTGGCTAAAGTGACCCCGCTCAGTTTGGTCTCGAAGGGGGGAAGAGATGTGACGAACTGGGACTGTTCTTAATGTGGTCTTTGAATGCTGACTGGGGAGTGTTGGCTGGGAAGGCAGGGGAGGTTGGCTAGGACAGTCTGCATTGGGGGATGGGAGACTGGCCTTGAGGGAAGATACCTGAGCATTTAACATGAGAACCCAGGAAGGGGTTAGAGGCCAGGTGACACCTCTGCCCAGGAAACTGAACAAAGGCTGTGGGAGGGGTTGCTGAAGGGAGAGTTTCAGGAGCTGGCTGGTGGAATGGCTGGGAGGCAGACAGGGCTCTGACCTCCCAAGGGGGCTGTGGGGCCCTGGGAGCCCCAAGATGGACCTAACTGGGGGGGGATCCTGTTGTCTGTGCCTGCAAGACCTGTCTTGGACTGTGTTCCTGTCGTCTAAATAAACCTTCTGCTTTACTGGCTGGCTGAGAGTCATAGTGAATCGCAGGAAGCCGGGGGTGCAGGGCCCTGAGCCCCCCCCCCACACTCCGTGACAACTGGTGGAAGCGGTGGGATTTTTCTATTTTTGTACCCATACAACTGTATCAACTAAGAAAAAAAATCCTATTTCAAAGCCATCTAAAGAGCTCTTTAAAAAAAGAAAAAAAAAAAAAAAAAGAAAGAAAATTTCTATCCCATCCCCTCTGTAGGACTTTACAATATAGGTTGTATCTAGAAGCAAAGTCAAATGAACCAAAAATACTGTAATGCAGAAAAATGTACTATAAATTAGTAAAATTTACTTTTTGTGTAGGCAATTTAGTTGCTAACTAGGCATGTTTCAGTCTTCCACTTCTGCCTGAGCAACCTTAATTCTGGTTTTTCCTAATATTTGAGTACTTGATTTTTTTAACCTTGCGAACATAGTTAACAGATGGTGTCGGAATAGAGAGATTAAGTATGGGGGCTCTACAGCTGGATTATTTATGGGACAAAGCTAATGACTTGTGTTCTAAACTTGGTTCCAAGACTAACTTGCACCACCGTAATCAAGGTACTTAACCTTTATCTCTCTATTTGCCAATCAACAGTATAAAAAAAAGAGGTTATCAATATTTACCTACCATAGGGGTGTTGCAAAATAAATGTTTACGAAGATACTATATAAATGTAAGATAGACAAGGTGCATAAGGTAATATCTTTTATTATACCAATTTCTATTGGTGAAAGAGAAGCTTTTGAGTTCAACAGACCTGAAGAAGAGCTCTGTGGAGCTTGAAAGCTTGTCCCTTTCACCAACAGAAATTGGTCCAACAAAAGATATTACCTCACCCACCTTGTCTCTCTCATATTCTGGGACCCGCACAGCTACAACACCACTGCAAACAAAATATCAGTGCAAAGTATTCGTGTGCAGAACTATGTAAAGTCACTATGCTAACATGGCACTCCATGTTTCCATGACCATATGTGCTCATTTTTCCAAGTAAAATGCTGTTTATTCTAATAATTATGGCACAAAGTCAATATAAACTGAGAATTAAGCTATGGTTCCCTCCTTCTTATGCCACACCACAAGTAGTAAAGCCAAACTGTGCTGTTAATGACAACTGTACAAACCCACTGGCATCAAAGGGGTTTTGAAAGATTTAGATGATTGGAACTTAAACAATTAGCTTGATGATGGCACAAGAAAGGATGGAATACTGTTTACTCAGTCTTAGTCGCATTGGCTCTTACAAGTTGAACAGGAATAAAATACAATCAAAACTTACTAGTTTATATTCAGCAGATATGACTCTGAATGCATACAAGCAACAAATCCATTGAGTAAGAAAGTGCTATTTTTAGACAGTCACTTTTCAGAGTAGAATCACACTTTAAAGGTAGTCAGTGAAGGTGGGAACAGAACTCAGAAGTAGAGCTTGGTGGAGAAAGATAATTCCATTTTGTGGAAGTCCCGCCTGCCTTTGGAACAAAACCTCAAAATGTATACTTTCTCTGCGAAAGAGACTGGAGCCCCATCTCCAAGGCAAGTTTACATGATGGGCTGCCCCAGAGGCACGGACCTCAGGAACCAAAGAGCTGGGTGAGCAAGTTAGCAGAAAGCCAGGCATGTTTCTTGCCTAGGTTTCAAAGGAATTTAATCAAAGTGGAACCATCTCCATGAAACTTTTCAATTTCAATGAATCAGCAAATTCTGATGAAAAAGTGTTACACTGGAATTTTTCCAACCAGCTCTATTCAGAAGTATTTTGTTCTCAAATGACATTCCGCAGAATACCAGTGATATTTTTCCAGGAGGTGTGCAGAATGAAATAATTTGAAACAGTTACTGGATGACTGGCTATTTAGAGGGTGAGGTTATTCATGAGAAACTCTGTTAGTTAGAAAAACACTGAACTACATTCATATGGCTTGTGGAGGGGCACTCGATCCATTATATTTAAAAAAACAAACCACTCAGCATTTTGACTATCTTTACAACAGCCCGCAGACCCTATGTAAGCATTACATGGTCTGACAGACCTAAGAAGCAGCCTCACAGGGAATTCTGACAATTCTAACACAGAAGAGAACGATTTCTGCAAGATCTTCTGAATAAGGCTCATCATTTTGGAAGTTAAACATAGCAAACAGCATTATAGTAATTTCCCCACATCTGAATTATACCTAGTTTTCCAACTTCCTTTTCTCAGAAATAGTTTGGCCAATTCACCTCAAATTGGCCAGAAGAGTTACTGTTTGTCCATAGACAAGTCTGCATCAGGTCTGAGGAGGAAACATCTCTGAAGGAACTTAGAGCAGTAGTTCTCAACCTTTCCAGACTACTGTACCCCTGAAGCCAGAGCCGTGCCATCCGGCACTGTATCCTAAGCTCTGCCACCCGGGACTGAAGTTTGTAACCTAGCTTTGTGTGGCCCCCTGTGGTGTGGGGTCTCAGGCAACTGCCCTGCTTGCCACCCTCTAATGCTGGCCCCGCACTTGCACCCCCCTCAAACCCATCCTGTGACACCCTCGTTCCCCCCGAGGGTCACAACTCCCAGGTTGAGAAACACTGATCTAGATGAGTTGACATACCTCTGTGTGCCCCCCAAAGGGTACATGTACCCCTGGATGTGAACCACTGACTTAGAGGAATGTTGAAAATCCATCTTATAATTCAAATATTGTTGTAACCTTAACTATGGAGAGAGCTATTGCCATTCCATAATACCTTTAATGACAAATTTTAATACAGAATTGAAAAAACTCATTCATTTTACAAGTACTTGAGAGGGAAGTCAACTAATAGACATGGGGTTTTAGCATTTATATCATTCTCTCCCACACACTCTTTTTCAAATTAAACATCCTAAAAAGTTAGACATTTTAAATGTGAAGAGGTCAAGAGTGGTATGTGCCGGGGAAGTTGGATCATTTGTGATTTACAAGTTATCTTCCAAAAGTGTTTATTAGTTAATCTCAAACCACATTACAAGGGAAAAGAGTCAGTTTTAAAAATTATTCTTTCAAGAAATATACTACAGTGGGAGAGCAAAACACCTCATGTTATATAGCAATACTACTAAAACTGAAGTTATATCAATATTTCCACTTAAGTTTCTTTTTTAAAGGGATTGTAAATATTAGTGGAAATCAGATGCAGACAAGGTTGCAAACCAAGAGCAATTTTTTCTAAATTTAAAACTCAAATGGCTAATATTTTTTATAAAAAGCTGATTCTTAAAGTTTAGTTGTTTAAGATCCTATTCGCAAGCCTAGTAACTAATAAAGTACATTAAAATAAAATAAAATTTGGCAATTAAACTATTCATATACTCTAATCACTTGTGATGCAAAACACACAGAAAAGAGCAAAGATAGTAAACTCTGAAAGGTGGCTGTGAAATTTTTTTCAGAAAGGTCAAATACACAATAGTAACTATTTGTTATAGTCCTGATTTATACCATCCTTATACAGTAAAATCCCACTTCCCTTATCAAGACTGAGTGGTACTTTAACCTACAATCACTCCCAGTTTTAATGGGAGAATGCAAAGTAAAGTACTAAACATAAATAAGGGTAGCAGAATCCGGTTATCATTTAAAGACAAGAAACAAATGCAATACGCAACAAGAGGAAAGGGAGATGATGAGTAAGCATGACAGAAGTAAAAGCACGTACATAATGGTTCCAAATAATTTTTTTAAGGATTTATTTTACAATTAAATATAATTTATCCCCACAAACTTTCTATCTACCCATTATCATCTGGTGATGTCTTGTAGACAACAAGGTAAAAATGGATCTTAAGGAGGGTTGTGAAGGAGAAGGTTAATGGCTTCACAGAGTAGTTTTGGGAGGGTATGCCAAATTAATGCAACATTATGAAAAAAGCCCCTAGAAATTCAAACTTGAAGACATTCTACACTTAAACTCATGCGGTTGTCGTTCCCTCCACCCTTCAACAGCATTAGTTAACAATGAAGTGCCCAACAGAAAGCTTAATTTTTCATCATTTGTTAATATGATTTATGTAGTAAGCTTTTTATGTGTACAATATTCTAAGTATGGTGCCTTAGAGTGCCATTTCTATACCTTTACATTATATTAATAGCTAAATTACAATAAACTTTAGTGTTTGCATTGTCAGTTTATTTTATTTTTTAGTATAATCTGTTTTTTCCTAAAGGAAGACTAAAAGCACCTGCCAGCATCTTCTCCTCTCATGCATTTTACCTGCTCACCAGCCTTGTCCAAGCACTTTTTCAGTTTACGATGTCCTTTAAACCTTGGTATCTAAGCATAAAATAATAATAGCACAAAGAAATGAAAAAAAAAAAAAAAACCATGAGTAGTTTAAACCACTCTAATCTGCATTTATATATAGCAAGTTTTTTTAAGCAGTAAATCATTGCAACTAAATTTTCCCATCTTCAGAGATGTTCTCTCTGTGGCCATATGGAAATTTTCATGAGCACATTAACAACCTATCCTCATCTGGAAGAGGTAACTGTCTGGCAATTAAAATAATGGACACTGACTAACATCTGTTTCTATATGAACAAATTTCATGAGGAACTCCCCAGAGAAGCCTGTAATAGAAGCGTTTTTAAACTAAGGATTGAGGGAAAGCCAACAGATATGGAGGAGCACATGGTTTGGACAGATACATCCCTTAGGGAAGGATTTATTAAAGAGGATACTCTAAAAGCAGCACTCACGGAAGATAAGGCTGTTGTGGAGAAGCTAAATGAGTTTTTGCATCCATCTTCACTGCAGAGGATGTGGGGGAAGATTCCCACACCACAGCCATTCTTTTTAGGTGACAAATATGAGGATCCGTCCCAGATTGAAGTGTCAATAGAGGAGATTTTGGAACAAATTAATACGATTCAATTTATTAAGTCACCAGGATCAAATGGTATTCACCCAAGAGTTCTGAAGGAACTCAAATATGAAATTGCAGAACTACTAATTCTGATATGTAACCTATCACTTACATCAGCTTCCATACCAGATGTCTGGCAAATAGCTAATATAATACCGAATTGTAAAAAAAAAAAAAAAAAAAAAAAAAAAAAAAAAAAAAAAAAA